AACAGATTATGCTGTAGATTCAACAGCCAATCCCATCAAGAGTCTCACATTCCACTGAAGTCCGTCTGATTAGACTCAAACTATACCTTGAGTGAAGCACTGGACACACAACCGGACAACAAGACTTTGAGCACTGAGGCTCAAACTCAAACTATGGTCAATAAATTTCCCCTTGGAGATCAAAAAAAGTACCTAACCTGATGTAGATCAAATGAATTTCTGACTTGAATGCTCTTTTCAGCAAGATACAAATAGAATAGAACAACACTTCCTGGATAGGTAAATGGCATCGAGTTATTATTTGTATATTCTGATAAGTATTTGGTGCGCCCATTTTACTATTGGTTGCTATGGTGTTTACTTATCAGTTAGTCACTGCTACAGTAGCTACAAGGCACAGTCACTTATAAATAATGAACACACAGCAACATTTATGAGGAAAGAAAAACATTATTGTGCTGTGACTGCAGATGTGTTCTTTGAATGTCATCTCAAAAAATGCTTGAACATTAAATTTTTCATTGACATGTGAAATCATTCATGGGGCATAATTCATACAAGGGCTGGAGGGAAAACAAATGATTTGCAGATGCTTTCTTAATGCATAAAATTCATAGTGAATTCAAACATTCATTTAAAAAAAACTGTGGCAAAAACTGCCACATTAAATTTAAATATTTCAAGAACATGACTAAAGCCATTTTATGTAGTAAAGGTGGGACAGATGCCATTTGAAGCGGCATGTATGCTAAAAATACATCAACGTTTTAATATGATTTAAAGGTACAGTTAATGCGTTTACACGAATCACAATTAAAAATGGATTGTTTGTTCTAATGCACAGCGGAATTGCATAGTTTATGGTTGTGAAACAGCAAAGCAAGCAACTATAAGTTTTGCATATTTTACTGCAAAAGAATTGCACACCTAGACTGTACTGAAAATTTAAGATGCGTCGAGAATTGTTTTCCAGTCTCATCACGACTCCCTAAATCTAAAGTCCTACAGATGAACGATTTTTCATAGAGAGACATGGAAATAAGATAACAGGATAGAATGAACACAATGCAACAAATCACCAATAAGCAAATGAATGGATCTGCAGAGTGTACATTTGTACAAAGATAGTGTGTGTTATATCCAAAGATACAGTCTTAAATATGCTGTACTATGTACTCACACATCCAAAGCCATTCACACTGGAACCATAACGTTATTTTCTTTTGCAATCCCCCTCCCAAACACAGGGGGCACTGCAGCTACAGTCTATAACTCACCAAGATCCTTAGAGCCGTGACTCTCGCTGGCCAGCTCTCCCATCCGCACCAGTGCGTCGAAGTAGCCTTTTGCTGCAAATGTCACACCTGGAAACATGGAAGCATTGGGGACATAAGAATCGGGAGTGTGCTAACGTGCTAACCCGAAGCTTCCCTCAACCCACAGGTGCCGCATCTATGGAAACAGGAGTGGTGGATGGGAAAGCTTTAAGCTCTATATGTTCTATGATGGCTCGGCCAGAGAACTGGGGGAGGTGGGGGTGGAGCTTGTGATTGGTGAGCAATGAATAGCAAAAGTACCATTACTTTAAAATAAAAAACAAACAAAAAAAGCTTGATGCCCTCCAAAACTTAACATTCACATCAGATAGCACATTATTGAGAGCAATCACTCGTTTTGTGTGAGGTCCCACCACAGGGACAGCTGTGACTCTTCTGCATCACCATGGCAGAGAAGGGCTGGCTCTCAATCAGGCTCTCTCGGAGCCAGAAGATCACGGCAGTTTAGTGAGTGCTTCTGACAGTGCCAAGAAGCACAAAGTGTCTTGGAACTTAGGACCAGAAGGTACTGAGCAAGTGGTTAGCAAAGGTTAGCATGTTCTGCCTTGAATTCATCATTTTAAAACGGTTAAAATCAGGTAAGAAACCAACACAGCATATTTAATTTGATGCAAATATGAAGTGAGACTGATTTTAAATATTCATGGCCATCATCATGATGGTCTGAGGCCAGTGAAGCCGCCCATCCTCAGAACTGCCTTCCTTAAAGCCAGAAATATGTCTGTATCAATTATTAACGCTGGGTTAAGAGCGTTTTATTTAAGCGCGCAGCAATCGGTTGGGTCCACATGGCTGATGGTACAGTTCCCACGTGCTTAAACGCACGCACCCTCACCCACACACAAGTCTGCATGTGTATAAATTCATAATACAGACTCAATTCTGCCTGTAGCCAAGTTGGATAAAAGTTTCCACTTCATGCCACTGATTTCTTGCTAGCTCTTTCAAAGCCTCTGAATCTAAATAACACTGACATTCAACATATACTTAAAGAACAGAGTCAGACCTGATCCTAACAAAACTCACTCAACCATGAACACACACTTCTTTGTCTTGCTCATGCAAATCAATCATAGTACTCTGAAAGCAACCAGATAAAGTATGTTTTGTGGTTATGACATGCATCTGGAGTGCTTTTGGGTCATGTGAAGGGAAAGACTCAGTGGCACCTTTTATTAGTGTCGATAAAATGTAAGACAAGAACGAGACTTCAGGGAAACATAGACACATGCACAAGCAACAAACTGTCAACAAATGTGAAGCACTGCTCATTAGATACTTAAAATATAGGGATGCACCGATATTTAATCTCTGGCTGATGTTTATGATTTGGCTGTATATCCAATATCTGCTGCTACTATAAATAATACATATTTGCATATATTAGGCCAATATGGCGTCAACATATCATCCATCCCTAGTAAAAGCTGCATTATGATTCTGATGTAGTTCTCTCATGCTTGACATTCATTGTAAAAGAACAGGCGCAGACAGCTGACATGAGCATTACTGGAACAGCTGTAAAAACATTAGGTAATCAATACATGCATGCACACACACATTAAATGCACTATTGAGAGAGGGGAGAGTATAATGATGTCTGACTTATGTAACACTTGAATACAAAACAACTGAACAGCAAAATACATTTTAGCACACAAACAACTACTTGTTTGGGTCACACCCACTTTATTTACAAAAACCCACTATTTTTGTATTAATTTATGTTTATTTCTTGTCACTGTCATAATAACATAAATCATTCCTGATATCTTCCACAATAGCAGTATAGTAAAATATCTTTTGATGGACATATTCTAGTATCAGAGGGAATAAATGGCATACCACCCAGCCTTATTCATTTTTGAAGATTAAAATATATATTTTCTGCATAATCGTGAAGGTACAAAACAAACACAGACATGCTTTAATTTGACTAGTGATGAAAAAGTCTCTGGTGAAAAGGCTGAGAGACTTAAATCCTCATAAAACTTTTCTCATTAAACTTTTCATACACAGATATTGCTGCTTTTTAACAATGCTGAGACAGCAGCACTCTAGAAATAGCTCTCTTGCAGACTAAAACATAATCTCATATAAAGACTCCGCCTGGCTATACTGTTTTGATATTGAGAATGCTGGAAATCAGGCAACTAATCTCAAAAGTTGAATTCATTCAAATAATAGTCTTTTACTGATCAAATTAGAGCTCCATTGAAATTGTATTCAATGAGACACCAGCTAGTAAAATGAAAAGATGAATGCTCAGAAAACTTTTTCTGAGATGAATAATGTAAGTTTAACCAGCTTTCATGTCTCCTCTGTAAGCCTCTCCCCTCCAGTCCTCCTTTAAGAGAAAATATTTGCTGCTGCGACTGCTTTTAGAAACAGATTATGCTGTAGATTCAACAGCCAATCCCATCAAGAGTCTCACATTCCACTGAAGTCCGTCTGATTAGACTCAAACTATACCTTGAGTGAAGCACTGGACACACAACCGGACAACAAGACTTTGAGCACTGAGGCTCAAACTCAAACTATGGTCAATAAATTTCCCCTTGGAGATCAAAAAAAGTACCTAACCTGATGTAGATCAAATGAATTTCTGACTTGAATGCTCTTTTCAGCAAGATACAAATAGAATAGAACAACACTTCCTGGATAGGTAAATGGCATCGAGTTATTATTTGTATATTCTGATAAGTATTTGGTGCGCCCATTTTACTATTGGTTGCTATGGTGTTTACTTATCAGTTAGTCACTGCTACAGTAGCTACAAGGCACAGTCACTTATAAATAATGAACACACAGCAACATTTATGAGGAAAGAAAAACATTATTGTGCTGTGACTGCAGATGTGTTCTTTGAATGTCATCTCAAAAAATGCTTGAACATTAAATTTTTCATTGACATGTGAAATCATTCATGGGGCATAATTCATACAAGGGCTGGAGGGAAAACAAATGATTTGCAGATGCTTTCTTAATGCATAAAATTCATAGTGAATTCAAACATTCATTTAAAAAAAACTGTGGCAAAAACTGCCACATTAAATTTAAATATTTCAAGAACATGACTAAAGCCATTTTATGTAGTAAAGGTGGGACAGATGCCATTTGAAGCGGCATGTATGCTAAAAATACATCAACGTTTTAATATGATTTAAAGGTACAGTTAATGCGTTTACACGAATCACAATTAAAAATGGATTGTTTGTTCTAATGCACAGCGGAATTGCATAGTTTATGGTTGTGAAACAGCAAAGCAAGCAACTATAAGTTTTGCATATTTTACTGCAAAAGAATTGCACACCTAGACTGTACTGAAAATTTAAGATGCGTCGAGAATTGTTTTCCAGTCTCATCACGACTCCCTAAATCTAAAGTCCTACAGATGAACGATTTTTCATAGAGAGACATGGAAATAAGATAACAGGATAGAATGAACACAATGCAACAAATCACCAATAAGCAAATGAATGGATCTGCAGAGTGTACATTTGTACAAAGATAGTGTGTGTTATATCCAAAGATACAGTCTTAAATATGCTGTACTATGTACTCACACATCCAAAGCCATTCACACTGGAACCATAACGTTATTTTCTTTTGCAATCCCCCTCCCAAACACAGGGGGCACTGCAGCTACAGTCTATAACTCACCAAGATCCTTAGAGCCGTGACTCTCGCTGGCCAGCTCTCCCATCCGCACCAGTGCGTCGAAGTAGCCTTTTGCTGCAAATGTCACACCTGGAAACATGGAAGCATTGGGGACATAAGAATCGGGAGTGTGCTAACGTGCTAACCCGAAGCTTCCCTCAACCCACAGGTGCCGCATCTATGGAAAAAGGAGTGGTGGATGGGAAAGCTTTAAGCTCTATATGTTCTATGATGGCTCGGCCAGAGAACTGGGGGAGGTGGGGGTGGAGCTTGTGATTGGTGAGCAATGAATAGCAAAAGTACCATTACTTTAAAATAAAAAAACAAGTAAAAAGCTTGATACCCTCCAAAACTTAGCATTCACATCAGATAGCACATTACTGAGAGCAATGGGACAGCTGTGGCTCTTCTGCATCACCAGGGCAGAGAAGGGCTAGCTCTCAATCAGGCTCTCTCGAAGCCAGAGGATCACGGCAGGACAGTGCCAAGAAGCAAAAAATGTCTTGGAGCACAATGAAATTTAGAACCAGAAGGTACTGAGCAAGTGTTTAGCGAAGGTTAGCATGCATAGCAGTAGAATAAGCCAATGTGACTTCATAATTTTAAAATCAAGTAACTGTTAAAATCAGGTAAGAATCCTACAGACTAACACAGCATATTTATTTTGATGCAAATGTAAAAAGTTGTGAGGGATAGAAGTACATCCAATTTGTTAATGTCACATCCGATATTCAGATAATGTTTTTGAGGGGTTTGAAGTATGCAAACAAAGAATTTTGTCTTTTAATTTTACAAAGTAACTCAAAGTTAAATATAAACAGGCCTTCCTGAAAAACACAGACTTTTGAGAAACAACTTAAAATAAATGAGTACATTTCACTAATAATATTAAATTCACTGTGTCATAGATTAAATAATTTAGGAGATTTTACATTATTTATTCAGGTAGATTCCATTAAAAAAAAATCAAGACCTAAACTACTCAAAAATATTATGTGTAATATTGTTACCATAGCACATAATATTTTACAGTTTAGGAATGCTACATCTGTTCCAATACTGGATTGCCCATTATTGGAAAAGTAATTTAATTTTTACATTTTAGATTACATTTGTCGCCATCTAACTTTGGCATTAATCAGTAAAAAACTAAAATTTAATAACACTGTAAAACACTTTATCTTTAGCAAATCTAAAAATCAATATTACTTTTTTATACTGTACTTTACATTTTATAACATTTGATTTTAGTGTTTTATTTTTAATTTATTTAGACAAAATAATGTAGCATTTAATATCAGCCATAAAATTAAAACCAGCTTATCTGTATCAGAGTTACACAATTCTGTACCAGAATTTTAGTATTGGTGCATCCCTGTCTAATTCATTACACAGTGAAAGTACGCAAGCATTGCATTCTCAGCATTGCCACATGTACTTGTGTTGTAAGATCTGCTTCTGGCCTCTGATATTTTGAACGAACTGTTGTACTTCTATCCTTAACAGCTTTGTTGACATTCACATCAAATTCAATATGCCATATGACCATCCCAGTTCAACGCAGTGGGAGCGTTTGGGTGGAGGTGGTAAGGCTACACCAATGGCAGCCCAATTCCGTATGAATGTACAGACTTATTTGCTAGTGTCCGCACAAATCCCAGGCTCAGGATAAGGTGCGTCCTGGTTGTGAGGGATTAGAGGGGGAAATCTAGGGGCTTTGGTGCTCCAGCGGTTAGGCTGAGTGGTGAGGGGTAAAGGAGCGAGAGAGGCAGCAGAAGGAAAGAGGATTACAGAGGTCTGAAAAATAGGATAGAAAGTCTCTCCAACCAACTCTTAGGAAACATTGATCAGCCACAGGAGACAATCCGAAGTTAAAAACCACAGAAAATGCCAATCTAGACCCAGTTATCACATGGCAATTTTGTATGTGATATTCTCGAGCTTAGTGCAGACAGAAGTCTCCAATTTTAAGGTCTTTGGTCTCTAATTATTCTTATTCTAATTTTTTTAACCTCCTAACCCTTTCAATCCTTCATTTCTAAGAGTTCTCCAACACTTCCAAGAAAAAGGCAAAGGAGGACTTTAGGCTTAACAGCTGCTTATGCACAAGACATCTCAACATAATCATGTACTCTAGGGCACGCAAATGGACCTCCAAAAATCTCAAGCTACTGTTGAACAATTGCAGCCAATGTTTATTTTTATTTTGTACTATGCCATTTTAATGATCTATTAGTTTTACTATTGGTTTCTTGCATTTACCAAGCAGCCCAAAAACTTGTAAATGCCCAGTGGCCACCATCTGCACTAGTCATTAGTGGGTACTGTGGAGGGTTTCCACTCTGCTGCCTGCAAGACCTGGCATATTTACAACTCAAGCAAATCCCCTTGATGGATTCTGTGAACCTTCGTAGCTGCAGCCAAGGCTGATCTGCAAGGATGGGAGCACAAATCTCACTCAAGTTGGGTCTATTTTTAACCTTATCTATCAGACTTCACACTCTCGCACACATACACACACTCTCGCGGTCTACCCTCTAGAGCGTTGGTGTTTTTCTTGTATTTTCTGCCTCATAAAATATTAGATGAAGTCTGGAATGGTGAGGAAAGTGATTGGTTCTCTGCAGTACTTGGCACAGTGCAACTCTACAGAGATTCGATGCTCATTCTACAGCTTCTGCCCTGTCTGTGGAGCTAAACTGAACACATGAAATCTGTATGCATTATACCCTGAGATCAGACAATGTGGCAGCATTATTTACCTGAATATAACGCAAATCCCATTGGTTTAGCATCTGTTTAAAACTGTAGAACACCCTAACAATGTGTACTAACCAGAAGCAATGCAATAAAAGGGACAAGTGATTTAAAAGTTCTTTCATATTAATCAGAACTTTCCTATCCAGCCACGATCACGACTTATCTGTTTAATCTGCTGTTGTTGTTGTTGTTTTTCTATTTCTACGGCCTCGTGCCAAGTAAACCTCACCCAGACTGAAATCTCACTGGACCGAAATACTACTCCTCATACATATTAAACATCAAATATGGATGAAGAGAGACTGTGGAAGTAGTAGTAGTAAAAAAATATAGTAATCGGCTTTGGTTTGGTTTGGTTGTTTTGTTTTCGTGTTCGGTATACACAGATAAACTGCTTGTCGTCTTGTTGCGTCGCACCTGGTTAGAATTTGTCATGGAAAGCAGTTTTTTCAATAGTGTTACATGTTAAAAATGAGACATTGTTAGTCAATTATTATTCTCAGAATAAAGCATTGTGGAAGAAAGAGGCGATGCAGAAAAGGACGTTTAATCGTTGCTCTGAACACCAGATACCCGTGCTACCTAGTGTTGTTTTTGCCATACTTCGTCCTCCTTGTAGTGACGTATCATTCTTGTCCTCAATATACATCTTTCATGTTCCCTTTTTCGCTCCCTCCGTGGGACTGTGTCTGCTCCCAAAGCTCTCTCTGGCCTATTTACGCCTGTCCTCTGTTCCATTTTACTCTCCCTTTCTCCCAGTGCATATTTTTGCTCAGAAACGTCTACGTCTTTGTCCTTGCCCAGTCAACATCTCAAAAAAACACACATGAAGGTCCGCACATATAACAGAAATACATCATCGAATTGTCATTGGTTACACATATGTGACAGCTCTGGAGATGCAACATGCATGAACCGAATGGATGTTTAGGGGGTTTCAGGGTGCAAATGGATTTAGACATGTAACATTCTATGACATCTTCACTACGAGGGAACAGGAAGTCTTCCGCCCCACAAACAAAAACATTAATTCTTAACAAACATTCAACAAACATTTAAACAACATTCTACTAGAGTTCTATGCAAGAATTTGAGTTTTATATTAGCAATAACAAATCCCAGATGCTATTCAGAAAGGTGTATGTGACCAAGGAGTGGCGCTCTCTGTAGCCATGAATTTCAAGCAGTATCTTCTCATAAATTAAAGCAGACCAATGAAACAAGAGCTTGAATAGCTGGCTCATTGCCTGCAAGAGTGATAAAGAACAAACCACTGATGTACTCACTGGAGAGGGCCTTCTCGTAAGTCTTCCCCATGGCAACAAAGTTCCTTAAGCAAGGGTTGAACTGCTCCATGATGGACTGAAACAGAAATAGCACAGCTTTAGTCAGCACAACAGCAGCAGTCACCATTTAGCAGTCATTCTCACCACTACCAAGAACACCAATGGGACAAACACAATGGCAAGTCACATCTCATAAGGATGCAGAAAATTAAACATCTGTTTCTAAGTCTACATTACAATAAAGTGTCTGTCTGTTGGGGATACGTGTGGATATGAAGATGCAGTACAGTGCAGATACCACGTAAAGATGGGTAGAGAGAGAAAGAGCGAGTCAGACTTTTCTCACGCCCCCACTTTTCAGGACACTCTCATTAGTGAGACTTGGAGGGCATCGTGCCAGTTGGGATTTGTTGTTCCTTTGTTGCTGGTGGGCACAGAATTGTGGGAGTATGTGGAGATCTACCCACAGCCTGACTCACCTAATCCAAAATTAAGAGTTGCCCTTTAAAATCTATTCATTTCTGCTGAAACTCCTCATTGAGAAGACCTCTTCTTATTCTCAAAAGAGCTTTGCTGGTCCATTCAGAGTTAAATCTCTTGCTATATCGCGACCTGACAAATTTGTTCTGAGAACATTTTCCCCAGAGTCACATTGTTCCTGTTTCTACAGGCTTTATCACGGCTTTGAAAATAACAGGACAGCATATAAAAGGACTGAGGAAGGGTTCAAAAAGAGTATACCAGAAGACAAGACAGTTATGAAGAACAGAGGATGTACAAAAAAAAACAAGCAATAAAGCACTGTACAATACAAATACTGTGGCAGCTGTTGAGAGAGAATGAAGCTATATGAATGAAAGCCTCCACTCTAGGTTTAACAGAATTGGAGTGAAGTTGTTTATGTACTCAATTAAGGTCGACAGTAAACTGATTGCTTGGGAATATCCCAAATCCCCCCCACCCTGTGCTCCAGTTACAATGAAAGCAGGTTTCCCGTGAAAATGAGGACAAAGACAGACTGCTTCAATCTGTTGCTGCAATGCAAACTGTGATTCAGATATCTTCAGAAACTATGCCAAAAAAAATAAAAAATAATAATAAATTAACCTTAAGGAACATGCAATTAATAGATTTATTTTTATTTGAAATGTTTTTATTTGCCAATATGAAATTATAATATATTATATCTTGTAAAATATTTTGTCAGCTTTCACTGTCACGTCTTATCTAACAACATCTCAACTCACAATTATTTATTATGTAATTCATCATCTGCTGCATGCAATCATATAGCAGAGTCTATCCAGTAGTACTAATCTTCATTATAAAATCAAGAAAAAAGAAAATGCAGACCAACCAAGAAACACTAGCAGAAGATATGAGAAGGAAATAGAGGCACAGGAGAAAGTCATGGTTGGGTGCAAACAAACACAGCTGGCATGTTTTCATCAAGGAAGGATTTACATAAACATAGTGTGATAGATCTCACTGCACCACATTCCTGTGAGATGAAAGCACATGATCGCATTCATGAGGTGAAATATACAACTGGTATTCATGTAACGTCCAGGGTGCTTTTTGCATGTCAGGTTTTGGCAAAACATAATGCTGAAGTGTATAATTTCTGCACATTTTAATGTCCACTAATGTCCCACTTAAGTGCTGTGGTTAAACATGAACAGAACAAAAATGAACAGAATGCAATGCACTGCAAACCTTGAAATCTCATCCATTCTATATGTACCTGGGAAAGATTAAAAATGACTAAGCCAATAAATTTAACCAAACTATTTTCCTCTCCACAACAGTTTCCAGAGAGCTCAGAAATCAGCATTATGAACCAGTGCCAAGCTGATGTCCACCCAACATCTAATCATTAAAAGCATTAAAAACACTCCACTGGGAAAACTCTCTTTCCTTGATTAGTCCCACAGCAATCAATCTATGTTTAACAAGCATGAACGAGAGCAACCAAACCCCCGATTAGGTGTCATTTCCTTCTCAATGTGGCTCTGCCAGACACTAAACACAGACCATGTAATTTTTCAGCTAACGCTGAATTAATTAACTAATGAGCAAGATTTCATATTGATGCATATTCTATCAGCGGGACCTCGTTCAAAAACAGCTGGGGGAAATGAAGGTGCGCTCACATATTACAGTATCAAGTACAGCACTAAATATGAATGGTTTTATTAGATAATGCAGACAGTCACTGAAGGAAATGTATAATTTTCCCTTTTTATAAAATAGTGCAGAGGACCAAATGAAGCACCATTTCCACAACGGATATCCAACCACATCAGCAAGAAATAATCAGCCAAAAAGGTTCAGTGCATCAATTCTATTGCAACTTTTATTTAACTTTACCCTTAGAATGCCTTTATAAACCGAGTTTAATAAAAGAATAAGGAGCATTTGAGAATATGAATGAGTCATCGTTCAGATTTTCTGTATGCACATGAACACAGTTTGGCTTTGTCATGGTAAAACATTGAGAAATGGGAGAACGGTTAGTATTTGTTGAACTAGCAGGGTTGTAAACATGCCTCATTTACCACAAACACAACCTTATGCATCAACACCTACCTTGGTGCTATATAAACCTGCTATAACACAAACCTGTGATGTGAAACTAATGCAGCTGCAGTCTCAGACAGCTTGGAAAAGATTGATGAATGTAATCAACTCTTGCGTCTGTCTGTGTGTGTCAGTCCACAGTCCAAACAATCTATGCTTCAATGTCAGGTAGTTACACAAAAGTGCATCTTTATGTCTTCAATATACATAGTAAAACATGGTTAACGCAGTCGTGTGGCCACTGATGTAAGCTGTAGTCTGGTTAAGACTTCCTGCTGTTCAGCGTTATGTAATGCTCTTGAGTCTTACAGCTTCAGGACAATTCAGTAGGGAAATGGATAATGATGATGTGTATTAATCAGTGTGCCTGAGTATGTATTTGAACCCAAATGCCAGGGTTAATTTTCAGCGGCTAACCTTCTGTTCAAAGCATTGCATTGCACTGTCAATTAATTTGATTATTCAATGCTGGATTGACCTAAAAATCAATTCTGAAATTAATAAGCTTATTAGAATGATATACAGTGGGCCTTTGGAAACTTTTGGACACTTACATCACACTGTATGAATGTCAGTGCATGACTTTCAAACATAGCTTAAAACCACACTATAATTCCAAAGATACAAATTTGCAACTTTATGCCATTATTCTGCAAGTTTATAGAGAACAACAAACTAAACATGGGCATGAAGTTTCACTCGCTACAAGCTCAAGGTGACCCTGACTTTAAATACTGTATGTATTTTTCTAGCTAGACACGCTTTCGTTTGTATAGAAAGACCCCTTGCACCCTGAAACACTGTAATTTACATATTGTAAGATCATCTAGTAAACAACACATTTTAGCTTTGTAACACACACACACACACACACTCTCTAAGAGATGTAAAAGCAATATGCAATACATATACCTCCTCCTACGTCTCATGAACTGAAACTTCATGTTCATATATATTTAAACTACATAAATTCTCGTTTATCACGCAAAAGGATTTCTTAAATGTATACAGTACATATATATTGTTCTTTCCCCAAGATGTTTTAAATCGGTATAAAATGAAAATTCACAGTGCATGTTAATCATTTTATTGTAAACAATTCATCAATGAATATTTTTCATCCTTGTAATTATTAATCATAATGTCCTGATCTTCTGGTGAAAAGACTAGTGATGTATGGCTGACCTCTCTAATAATTTCACCTACTTAAACCCCATCTCTTTCTTATAATCGACAATCTTGCAAGCTCGAATTCAGTTGATTGCCTCCATCCAATCAATTGACAGAACCAAGTCCCTCTCTACATTTTTTCTTTTTCAATAATTTAACTCAGATGTAGGTCACAGTACTTACAAAAAGATCTGCCTTTACTTCTATTTTGTCGCGACTTTATGAAGGAAGTGGTTAAATTTCAATCCTTTAAAAACTCCAAGCTTCAAGAAAACACTGACTCAAGGTCAATTTTTACCATTTTATTACACTACGACACTAACAGCAAGAGTATTAAACTCAGATCTGGGTACTCTGCAGAGGCTGCCACCATCTTCCCACATGGACAAAGATCTTTCCGTGTCCACTGCGGATGCTGCAAGTCATTTAGTTACAGCTGTCTCACTCCTACAAGCCGCCCTGGCGCTCATCTTACCAATTTCCATTTCAGATGAGCCTGTCTGTGTGCGTGCGTGGGTGTATGTGTGCCTGTGCGAGTTCATCGTGAACATCAGCACTGTGTGCATCTCACTTCAGAGTGAGCTTGGAGAGGTGAGATGGAGAAAGAATGACTTCCTTGCCCAAATATGGTTGTGTCGGAATTCCCCCGCATTACTCTTTGCTACAGTGCATTCCTATTCCCTGCACGTTTGGATCATACCATCTGATCGCAGCAGGAGGGGGAGTTTGTGCAGCTAGAGCTCATTACCTTTGACTGAAGGAACACTGTGTCCCCTTCCGTCCCAACACCTTAATCCATTCACAGAAACGCAGATGAAAAATGAGTGAAACGCGATTTCAATTTCAGTGAAAGGAGACAATGATGAATCCAGCTGAGATGCATGTGCTGGTACATGTGCCTGTGTATAATGAATATATACAATGGGGCTGTGTGTGTGGGTTCCTGCACACAAACACTGTTTAGTCTCTCTGCTGGTGTACCCTCCCGTGAGATCTCGAATGAAATGTCACAGCAAAGATTCCAGCATTTCGCAATTATCTCCTGCTGTCTCAAACACACACATACGTCAAACCATTCCCCTTCCTCTCACCTTCAATTCTACTGTAATATAATATATATACTGTAACTATAATTCTACTCTTATTCTACTGTATTCCTCCTCTTTCCCTCTCTAACTGTTAAAGACACCAAAATTAAAAGTATATAAGAAATTATATTTTGCATGCCTATTTTAGTTTCATTATGACAATTAAATTATTGTTTTCATGACAATTAAATTCTCATTACTATAATGCAAAAAACAATTTGTTATTACTGTAATATAG